GACTTTGATGCAAATGGTCTGTAGGCCACATTTGACAAGCTCTACTCTCTCATTAGTTCCGCTGGTACTTATATATCCTGATTATCTGTCATCTAAATAAACCCATAGAGCTTCACTATCCACCCCCTTCCACCATTTTGACTCCTGAATAGAGATACAGTAAACCCTCAATTTTGCGGACGTCGATTTAACGAACTTCAGATTTAGCAGACACAATTTCCAGTCCATATTTCATATGTGAACAATAACACCCTGTTAATTTTAAAATGCTTTTAATGAAGATTTGCTTATAATTAAATTAACAGGTTTTTTTGTTTTGTTTTGCACTCACTGTTATTTTTAATAAATTTTAGTGAATGGGCCATATGTTGGGAAAAAAACACTGTAGTAATTTCACTGACATAAATATCACATGTCTACAAGTATAGTCTACATATTTAAAGCCAAGAGTCACTGTTCATAAACAGTGTTCGGGGAATGCTGATCACACGGCATTGTGATGTTCCCAGGTGCCCTATGCCACGCCCCAGCCATGTGTATTTGTTTACACTAAGTGACTGGTGAATGCACGCATTTACCAGACCTATTCAGTATAAATTTCAAGTCACAGTAATACATATAGAAGACTTTTCTGTGAAATTAAACTTTTCATACATACTCAATTTTAATCACACAAATGTGTCTACATAAGTAAAAACAGGTAAACTAATTTGTCAATTTTTTAACAAATGCATTTGGAAAACCTACTTTATTATATAACGGATTTTCGGCTTTAACAGACACCCCCTCACCTGAATTAGTCCATTATATCGAGGTTTTACTGTGTCAACATTTTAAACAAACTCCAAGGCATCTTCCCAATTAAATTTGTAAAAATAAAGATAATATGTGTACAGCATTTTGAGTAATTAGAAGAAGAGTATCTTAGTTCATCAGGGAAATGTTATCATAATATAATCTAGAATCATGAAAATTACATTAGATATGTTGGATTCGGCTTGAGACTTAAATGCAAAGGAAATAAAACCCACACGCAATGCCTGCGTGGACAGCCTGCATGAGCACTTGCCCTGGCTGGGTTCTCTTGTTTGTGTAGGCAGGCTTTCCCCTTCACTGGGGCTGGCCTAGAGAAGAGGGTTGCTTTAGACACTGAGGTGCTAGGTGCTCTTTTGAGAATGAAGCTCCATATTAGTAAACTTAATGGCTGATGTTCACATATTTTAAAAAATCTCAACTGGTACATGTGTGCCTGCACCTAACTATATGTATGCATTTTTTTAAATTATGAACTTAAGCAACTTTGCAGGAAAAAGAACTGAATGGGTAGTTATTAAACTGCCTTTATATAACTATCCAAAAAGATTTCTCATCCTTGTGGAATATTTACACATATATTAAAAAGTATATCTATTCAGTTCCACATATTACTTTTTACTTGTAATTTATTTTGTATGCACATGTCCATGGGTCAACCTAATTCATATTTTTTGTTATTTTAAATGGTAAAATCATATTTCATCTATTTTATTCTATTATTTACTTAGTGTTCTTCCAGGGTTGGCTGTTTTAGTTATTTTCAAAGATTTGCTACCATATACAGAGTTCTTATGCTCATTTCTGCTCAAATTATGTTTTTGTTTGTATGAATTCCATTGTGCATGTTCTCCAAAGTGAAAGAATTAGAAGGAAGAGTAATGACAGTTTTATAGTTCTTATTGCATATTATAGTATTGCTTTCTGGAGACACTGAACCCATATACAACCCACAGGCGTGTGGGCCATGCTGCTTTTCCCACAGCCTGACCAATATGTAATTTCATCATTCCAGCCTATTTTTGCTAGTTTAATGTGAGCATAGGGCCTCTCCAGAAATATTTTATTTTGAAGTTCTTTAAGTGATGCGAAGCAATTCTTTTCCATGGGGGATAATTAACTGTTTTCATTTTAAGGACAAACAATTCACCTCCTATTGACAGTTTTAAAGGGACCGGCGTAACAACCTTTTGTAGAATTGATTCTGTAGAAATAGGACCCTTAGGTGCTGGCCAGGCTCCACCTGTTAGGGAGGAGCAATTGTATAGACCTGAATTAGAAAACGTATGTGAAGGGCTGTCGCAGAAGTGCCAGCTCACTCTGTTTAAGGAAGATTGGAGAGCAGGAACATTATAATTTCATGATGAAAAAAGCACTGGGGCTTTGGCATAGGATAACAGATTTCACTTCAAAATGAATGCAAAAACCTATCCCTCCTGCCATTCTATGATATCCTCACACAATGCCACTTCCTTTCCTGAACATTTCAAGGAGACCCCCTGGTCTATGACAGGGAGGACTTTAGAATGGCCAGGACACTCACCTGGGCTATTTGAGAGGTCTTGGGGGGAGGACCTGGAGACAAGTCGCAGGAGCAGTCAGTCCCGTCTGTGGAAAGTCAACTCAGATATAAAATAGTGCCTTTGCCCGTTGTCTCACATTCTGTGACTGTGGTCATCTTCTGTGTAAGCAAATAAATGCTTGCTATGCCGGTGTGGGTTCCTGTGGTGCCAAACACAAGATACAGTGTTATTTATGTAAGACGGGCCTTTTGTTTTGGACAGTGGTCTAATCTGTTGATCTTTTTAGAAATTGGTGACTGTCCAACTTGTAATGAAAGTCAACCTCTTGAGCACTTGGGGTCAAAATCTGTCCTTTTCCTCCATTCCCGGCTGTCATGCTAAATTGGCACTTCTTTGCTTTCACTCTTGTCTCCATAGAATGTTTACACACACAAACACATGTATGTCTCTATCTTTATCAATCTGTGCCTACCTATCTATCTGCTTTATTTGGAAATAATTCACACACCACACAATTCACCCATTTAACATGTATAATTCAGTGGATTTTATTATATTCACAGAGTTGGCATCCATAACCACAGTCAATTTTAGAACAGTCTATACTCCGCCCCCCCCCCCAAAGAAACCTCAGTTCCGTTAGAAGTCAATCTCTATTTGCCTCCAACCCTCCCAGCCCTAGGCAACTAGGGCTTACTCTGGACATTTCATATAAAGAATCATATAATATGTGATCTTTTGGTTTAGCTTCTTTCACTTCGCATAATTTTTTCAGGGTTCATCCGTGTTGTCGTATATGTCAGGTTTTTTCCCCTTTTTTTATTGCTGAATAATACTTCATTGTCTGATAGACCACATTTTGTTTGTCCATTCATAAGATGATGGGTTGTTTCCACTTTGGGCTACTATGAATGACTAATAAAACATGTATATGTTTCCGTGTGGAAGAATGTTTTCAGGTTCCTTGGATATATGCCTAGGAGTGCTGAGATGTAGGAGAACTGTTTAACTTTTTGAGCAACTGCCCAACTGGTTTCCAAAGCAGCTTCCCCATTTTACATCCTCACCCACGTGTACGAGGGCTTCAGTTCCTCCATATCCTCACCAACACTTGTTCTTGCCCATCCCTTTTGTCATAGCCATCCTAGTGGTTGTGAAGTGGCATCTCCTTGTGGTTTTGACTTGCACGTCCCTGATGGCTAATAGAATACTTACTCCTTATCTTAGTATTCTTCTTATTCTTTTATAAAAATAAATGATATGCTTCAAGAAATTAAAAAGGGCAAGGAATACGAGCGGCTATAACTTCCTCTTGGGTTTCACACATCATCCCATCAGAATGGAAGGGACCTCCACTGCCATGAGTGTGCTCCAGCCATTTTCTTCCTTCTTGTATCCGTTCATCATTCAGAGCATGGGGAAGCAGAGACCATTGTCCTATGTTGGGTAATGTCCTGTGTTGGGTAATGTGCCCACCCCTTGGGTTTGTAGTTATGACTAGGACTAGACAATGTACACCAGGAGAGTGCAAATCATGAAAGGAAATTGAAGTGCTTTTGAGGTGGGAGACTGGGTGCCACGGGTGGGACCAGAACACGTTTCCTGCTTCTCTGGATGAACTGCATTGCCAAGGTTGGGAGCCACAGAGACCTTGTCAGAAACCTCACTAATGATGTCAGAAACCTGTGCCACATATCATAGTGAAGAACACATACTAAGCTTTATTCATAATATTTCAAAATGATACAATTTTAAATGTACATATTCCTATTTGAAACACAGCATTTTCAAATACATGATCTCATCGATCCTCAATAGTCTGTTAGTTTCTAGTTATAGTCTGTGATGACCTCGGGGTTTAAGTACATGCTTGTGAACGAGCCTCAGAATCCAACCACCACCAACTGATTTCCTGAGAACATGTGTTCTGAGCTCCAAACAAATGACGAACAAATGCCCAAATGTCAACCTGCCCCTAAGCCAGCATCTCACTGTTCGGCAGGCTCATGCCAGCACGTTGCGTGGACAATAGAGAACAATTCTCATGTGCTCCATCCGGCCACCAGGGATGCTGACCGAGTGCTCGGCAATGTCCGGATGGGTGACTGGAAGGATCTTGCACTAGGAGCAGTGTGGAAAATAGGCAGGCCTTGGAATTTTAGCTACCACCTCAGGTGCCTCGGGAGGTAGAAATGTTCATATCACAGTTCTCTAGCGTTTTCTGCTACAACAGAAGGCCACCAGAAGGGTTTCACTGCTATAAAGGAGAATGACGGGATCAAAACGACAGCTGGGGGTTTAAAGGACTCTGGTCAGAGACAGATGTCCTCACAGGGAGTCGATGCCTCCGAATGGCCTGGGAAGCAGCCGCGTGCCCTGGACCCTTTCCTTGGGCTTCAAGCTCATCTTCCTCCTCCTGCTGTCATCCTTCCAGTCCTGGGCAGAAGCCACGATGGTGGGCATCCTGGCCTCTGTGAACTTCTCAAGGGTATATATTGTCACACAGAAGTCCACCCACGGGCCACTGTGGACATTGTAGTCAGTCCTGCCGGTTGCCCTGCCAACGCAGAAATTTTATAGCATGCCATCAAAGATTGTATCTATAACTGTGATGATTTAAAAAAAAATAATCACTTCACTTAGATTTTTCTATTTTAACCCAAGGTATTCTTCAGCGGAAATAAGGAAACAGTTTACTCTCCCACCAAACCTTGGCCAGTACCATCGACAAAGCATAAGCACCTCCGCTGGCTTCCCTTCTCTTCAACTAGTAAGTATGAGCTACAGCTTTGCTTAGAGAACAGTCTCGCGCAGAAGCGCCCAGCGAAGGCTTTCTGCCTCTCTCCTTAGGTCTCCCCACTGCTACCTTCCACTTCCAGCCACCAGTGCCTGGCCTGGCCCTAATTTTTAACATCTGACAATTTCCCTCTCTTCCTCCCTCAAGTAGGGCTTAGGGTGCAAAATGGGTTGTGGTTCTGACGTCCCTGGACTTAGTGGCCTTCCAGGCTATGTGATTTCACCCACATTATAATTCATATTGTAGGGAGGCAGAGGATTAGCCTTGGAAGCTTGCTGTCGTTCGTTACATGCTTTTATTGGGGGAAAATGTATTCCAAAACCTGAAAAGCCAAGTTACAAACCTTAGTTTTTTAAAATCGTTTTCTTGGAAGTGTAATTTACATACAATAGAATCCACTCATTTTTAATGTACAGCTTGATGGATTTGGCCAATTTATTGTTATTTAACCTCTACTCAATCAAGAGTCCCCATCATGGCCCCTTTTCGGTCTGTCTCCTCCCCCAGACCTCAGTCCTAGCCCTTAGGCCATCACTGATCCACTTCCGTCTTCATAATGTTGCCTTATCTGGAACTTCATATAATTGGAATCAATTTAAACCCCCATTTTAAACACACACACTCTCCCTACATATGGTGCCTGGTGGGTACTGGAAATCTCAGGGGGGACACTTTGAAAAAGTATATGATTGTCTAACCACTATGCTATACACCTGAAACCAATGCAACATAAATTGAAAGTTAACTGTAATTGGAAAACAAAACACCTAAAAAATATATTTTTTAAAAAACCAAACACTCCCCCTTCTAAGTTGAAGGTTGCCTGCATGTTTCACACCAATGGTTGAGCGTGCCTATGTGTGTTCTCTTATTTGAGGACTAAATGGCAGACGTGTGCTAAGTAGGATGCATCTGACTTAAGTGAGATGGTTTGTCAAACCCGAAGGAGCCTTCACTTCCTCTGTGAGAGCGGCAGCCTCCCCTGGCCTCACTTCCTCAGGCGCGTTGCGGCGCAGCGCATGCACTTCTTTGCTTCTGGTGGTTAGCCTGCGGAGGTTAGGTTTATTTTTTTGTTTCTCACTTATTACTTCAAAACCACTTCTGCTCTTAGAAATTTTGTAACCTTCCACTCAGTTTCCTGTGGCTGCCATCTTGTCTCCTGTAACAATTTACACGCGACTCACTGTGTGTCCTTAAAGGTATGTTTACTGGAGTGATTGGTGGTTATTTCAGAGGGGTAACTTGTGTGTTGTGTCACTGATGAAATAGTCCTACTGAAAAATAGACTGCAAAAGGTCATTTGTGAGGACATGTCTTCCAAAAAAACTACTTAGGACTTGGGTGGCTTGCTAGACTGCTGTTTTTATTTGTACTTTTCCTATCTGTTTCAAAATCGCAGATTATAATAAAAGCACATCAGGTGCATAATGGTCATGCTTTCAGATATATCAGGTGAACTGTGAACCAAGACAAATTAATTTGGTGCTAATATATATTTTATTGAAAACCCCTGAAAATTATTATGCAATTTCTGATTAAAATCTTACTCCAAAATATTAAACATTTGGTTAAAAAGTGACTGGATACACTTTTCTATCTTAAACTAGGTGGGGAGGTGGGGTTGGGTGCTTTGCTTCTTTGTAAATTAAGACCTCAGCGCTCTGCAGCCGGCTGTCTTGAGAAAGTGTGGACATCACTGCGAAGAGGCTTTGAGGAAGTTCAGCCAGCAGGCTTTAACCCCTTCTCTGCAGGCCAGCTTTGACTCTAATGCTGCAGCCTCACATTTCTTCAGGAGAAGTTGTTTATAAATATAAAGTCTCAAAGGAAACAATTGCTTCATGATTGCAGGTGCTTTTTGGTTTTATGGAAGTAAATGATGATGAATTACTTCATTAGCTGGGCAGCCGAGCTAACACGTGGCTTAACGATCCATTTTCTAAGAGAAGATACCGAAGAAGTAGCACACATCTTTAACTATACAAGAATCATGTGTGCCTCAATTTATTCCTTTTTCCGTTTGCAAATGAATAGCCTTTAAAATACACTAGTCCGGGTTACTCCAGTTTAGTTTCCTAATGATCTTTTCCCAGATCTCTGCTCCTGCTTCTGCTTCTGCACAGTCTGTTACCCCTGCACCTCCTATTAACTGACAGCAAAGCAGGAGGTATGAGGGAGCCACCGGCCCCAATTTGATATCCATTAAAAAAATAAAAAGCATGGCCTGCTTAGGAAATCACCCTGATGTTTACCTGCTTGTCCGGTTGTAATGTCAGAATGAGGTGACTGTTCTTCCCCTTGAGTCATCTTCCCAAATGAAGGTTCCTCCAACAGAAGTCAGCATACACGGTGATTTCCCTTTCCCTTCAAGAATGATTTCATTTCACGGCAAGATACTGGGACATTTCAGCAAGATTCATTTCTGGGGAGGCAGAGAAGTAGTTTGTCATCTACAGACTCTCAACCGGAAGTAGCTTTAACAAGCTGCTCCTAAGCGAGAAGCCATAGACTGTCCATTGTATAATTTTAGACAATTGAAAAGTAAGAATGAGTGCATTTTGACCTTTGTTTCTCTTACCTGTGTTTATATAAACCACCATTTCAACAACTCCGCGTGCCAAAACAAATGGTTGTTTAAGTTTTTAAAGTATTTAACTGGACAAGGTTATTTAAAACTCAATCAATTATTAGTTTGTTGTTTTGCAAGAGGAAATAACTTGGAGTCGCATGGATCTGGGGTGAAGTATAACTGTCATGTAATTGGTATATAATTTGAGGTAAGTGAACCTCTGTGAAGGCTTCAGTTTCCTCATTTGCAATATTGGCATAATAATGCTACCCCATTAGGGTTAACATAAATGACATAATAGATGCTGTGTAAATCGTGGCTATTACTGTCAATGTGTTTGGCACTGTGGAGATACTAGGAGATTAAAAGAAGAAGATCCATAGGAGATTGTTTTGCCTCTAAAGGGCCTTATGATCTATTTGAGATAATATAGGAAATCCCTACTGGCTTTGAGTGTGGTAGGTGCTCAGAAGAGAGACAAATCCATGACATAATAGGGAGGTAAAGGCTTGATGGGGAAGGTGAGGAGACTTAGAGGAAGGTTCTCAGCCCTGGCTGCCCATCAGAATCCCAGGGACCTTTAGAAACACCTGTGGCCAGGCCCACCATAGAATGAGTAAATAAAAATCCCAAGGGATGGGCCTAGGTATTTTAAAGTTCCCTGGGACTTTCACATGTGGTCTAGTTTAAAGAACTACATAGTGGGAGTATTCCAAACAGGAGGAAGAACATAAAGAAAGTGAAGTTTCTTTTGTTGTCCTAGTTCTGAGTTTCAGAGAGTATGGTCAGCAAGAACCACATACTATCCCTATGGATATATCCTTATATAAAGATAGTCGGTTGAGTGTCATCCCTTGCAATGAGGGTTTGCTGTTCAATTCTCTGTCGGAGCACATGCCTGGCTTTATCCCTGGTGGGAGTTGGGAGGCAGGAGTCAGCTGATTGATGTTTCGCTCCAGCATCAAAGTTTCTCTCTCTCCCTCTCGCTTTCTCTCTGTCTGAGGATCAATGAAAAAAAAATCTAGAAAGAAAAAAAAGATAGTGGCTTCTGTCATAAATCTGATAAGTCAAGTGAGAGGAAGGGTGTGTTTGATTTCTTTTTCTGTTTAGTCAGGTTTGTGTTTTTTAAACTCTAATTGTCAGTGTTAGCTGTGATAATTTTGAATACAAGAATTTCAAAGTCAATAAAATATTTTTAAAAATTTTATATTTGAATATGAAAAGGAACCATCATTTGGAGTTGGTTCCTTAGACATGATGATAGAGTTGTTCTGGGCCTAACTGACACTCCTGTCAGAGTCCTTTGTGCCCAGGGCCAGAGGGAGTGGCCTTAGTGTAGCATCGCTCATTGGCCGTGGCATTCTGCATTGCCACAGCCATGTGAACAGGTTGGCCAGACACTCTCTGATGTCAGCAACTCTATATTTGATGTATTTATTAAATTGAAACTGTAAAATACCAAAATTATTTTTTAGTTATTCAAAGTAGAAAGGGGAGTAAAATATGCAAGAGAGGAAAGGGTTAGATCTATGCCCTAAGGTATAAAGAAGGATGAGAGACACTATCATGGTGTTAATGATCTTCACCTACATTTTTATAGAGAGAAAATCCTATTTTTTAAAAAATGAGAATAGAAAATTTTGAAGTGAAATGGAATGAACCAGCTGAACCATATTTCCTTGGGTGAAGAAAAGTATGTAAAAAGCCACATCCTGGATATGTACCAAACACCATGGTTACGTGACATGTTTGTACACAGGGGTGGGCAAAAGTTGGCGTAAAGTTGTTCATATAAAAAAAGACATGCAGGTTATTATTGCAGTAGCTTTATTAACTCTGTTTCTAATACAACTATAAACCTACTTTTGCCAACACCTGTATAACACTTATATAGGAAAAAAAAAGTCTCATACCTGAAAAAGCATTCATTTTTATTATGTGTTTAAGCTTCTGAACAATAAAGCAACCTTTTTCTTTTACTACTAAGGCTGAACGCTTGATAAATATGGCCCTTTATTATTTTTCTTGTGCCATTGCTCATGTGTGCTTCATTTTTCAAGCAGTTGGGCTGTTCTTAGGTTTCATTGATTTCACAGAGGGGACATGATAGAAAATGAAGATCTCAGTATGGTGTATAGTGTTCATGCAAATTCACATGGAAGATAGAATGAAAGACTGAGGCCCTGCATGCAGAGCAAGAGTTTCATTACTGTCACTGTTTAAAGCAGGGGAATCAAATCCGCCTTGGTAAAAATAGATGGTTGCCTACCATGGCATGTCAGCATCTTCCACTTGGTGGCATCAGGGGAAGACTGTCATTGGTGGAAGCAGGGAAGTAGTTAGTTTAAGACGTTGTACTTTGAAATTACTGAAGCCAAAAGAACCTGTCTTCAGATCTATTTACTTAAATATGGTAGAGAGCTGAAAGGATTGTCTTAAGCATTCATTCATTCATTCATTCATTTAAGAAATATGTTTTCAGTCTCACTCTGTGGCAGGAGCTGGTCTAGGAGCTGGGGATACACTGGTGAATATAGCAAAAGGTCTAGCCTTTTGGAACTTACATTCTAGAATGGGAGACATAGACAAAAAAAATGAATGTAGACCAAATCAAAGGGGTTTTAATGATTTGAAGAATGAAACAGGAAAAGGGAATAGAGAGTGACACAGAAGAGAGCCTATTTGGTGGTCTGTGAAGGCCTCTGTCTAGAAAGGAGACACTTGGGAAGGATTCTGAGTGAACTTGACAGATTTCTGGAGGAAAAGTCTTCTAGTCAGAAGGAACAGCAAGAGCAAAGTCCCCGAGGCAAGATTATGTGGCCTACTCCAGAAACAGCAAGGAAGCAGAGAGCGAGATGAACAGAGTAGGCAGTAGGAGATGAGATCATAAAGAAAGCAGGGCTGGGCCGTAGGCCTCAGAGACCATGGAAGAACTTGGGTTCTTCCCTTGGTTAAGATGAAGTCACTGTTTGAGACAGCGTGGAGGGACCTGGAGAGTATTAAGCTAAGCAAAATAAGCCAATCAAAGAAAGACAAGTATCACATGATCTCACTTATATGTGAAATCTAATGAACAAAGTAAACTGATGAACAAAATAGATCCAGAGACAGTGAAGCATGCAACAGACTGATGTATTTCAGAGGGAAGGGGCAAGTGGGAAGAGATTAACCAGTGAACTTATATGCATATATTCATAGCCCATGGACAGATAACAGTGAAGGGAAGGCTTGGGGAGGGGGTGGTGGGAGTCAATGGGGGGAAAAAGAGGACATCTGTAATACTGTCAACAGTAAAGATAAATTTAAAAAAAATGAAGTCGCTGAAAGCATTGAGCATCAGCCAGGCACAATCATAATTTTTATAAAGATTGCTTATAGGGTTCTTTATATGAGGATCATTCTGGCTGTCACAGGGAGAATAGACTGGGCTGGGTGAAATTGTTACAATAACTCAGGAAAGTAATGGTGGTGATTTGGAATAGGGTGGTGGGAGTAGAGAAGGTGAGAAGTGGTTGGATCCTAGATATATATATCAGAAGTAAAGTGGACAGGATTTTCTGATGGATAATACATAAGGTGTAAGAGAAAGAGAAAAATCAACATTGACTCCAAAGCTTTTGCCCTCAACAGCCC